TTGTATATCTCAAACACTTAGAGAAAATGACATCTAGAGAGCAAGGGAGAAAGAAACAGACAGTGGCTTGTTAATGTGCTTAGAAGTAATGGTTAACCCACAACAAGCTTTTTCCATCGCAACAATATTATAGTCAGGGAAAATGGGAATTGACGAGTCAGACAAGCAGAGATCATTATTGACCAGAAGACGTGTTAGATGCGGCTTCTATAATTATCTTTTATCTGAGTTTTATAGCCATGGACAGCTTATTACATTTTAAGCAGGGCACATTGCGCAGCCACTGTTTCTCTGAAGCCTATTCTAAATACTTTCAAATGTATAGAAACAAATTGTCATTCAAACTAAACACCTGTCTAAAAGCTTTTGTAAAAAATATTCTTTCAACTGACTCCATCTGATTCCCACATTATCATATAGACTCACATTAAGCATGGTTTTAAATGAAGAAACGTTGGTAATAACCATTTAAGCTAAAGTTTGACAACAAACACAAATTCTCCCTAGAAAAACTTGCTGATATGGTTAAACGTTTTCCAGTTTTCTGACAGCCGTTCTCCTCTGTCTGCTGCATGTCTGATGCCTTCACAGTAGAACCCCACAGACAGAGGACAAAGACCCTACCAGAGCAGATCCAAGGACAGACTGGAGACCTGACATGCACTTGTCTTTTTTTTTTTTTCTCTGACTCATGCTTAGTCGCTCAGCACCACACAGTGAAACTTCAGTCCCAATGCCAGGTTCTGTCACTGGGCAGAGCGGCAAGTTGGCTACAGTAGAACCATGACGTGATCCCCCCCCCCTTTCCTCTGTGCTCCCCCGGCCTGTGCAGCAACAGAGGGGTAAAAATATCCCGCCAGTGGGTTCATACAACCAGCTCATAAATTAACACTACAACTCCTGCAGACAACAGTGAGCCAGTCGTTGAGAGATTTATACCACTCAGGTTGCCACTGACCACAGCACTGGGATCAGCTTACCGAACCCTTTTCCTAAATTTACCCATTAGGAGGTGGTGAATTAAGAACAGCGTCTGGATCAATTTCCCCTTTAAGTCGCTGTTTAGTTCCACGCTAAAGTAGGGAACTCTTGGGGTGTGTTTGCCTTCTTCTTTTTTTTTCTTCCAGGAAATATTACGAGGTGAGATGTGGGCTATTAGGCCTTAACTGGGATTAAGGGTCTGTTCTTAATTTACTCAACTTAACTGGAAAACAAAAAGGTATGGGTTTTAGGGAAGGTTATTCACCCAGCCGCATCTTATTAAAGGCCTGTCTGTAATGAAGAGCCATTTCTCAAGCCAACATGCAATGTTAGAGCAAACTGCTCGACTAGTTCCCAAAAAAAGAAGAAAAAGAAAAAAACAGGAGAAAAGAGTGATGATCCCCTCCTCTAAAGAAACTCAACTCTGTAATGGACGGAGAGGGATTACAGACGTTAAAACCTCCTCCATCTGTAATTCACTGTCACCCTGCCATCATCTCTGAATCACTGATCCACTCTGCAAGTGTGCAAGACCTTGCTAAAAGCATCACAGTTGCACCCATTTGTGTTTGTAGTGGTGGTGGTGGTGGGGGGAAGAAAAAAAAAAAAGAAAAATCATGCAGAGACAACTTAACAGCTTACTGTGCTGTTTCAAAGCACTCTCTGTCCTCTAACAACCACCTAGCTTGTTTCCCCACACAGGGAATGGGACATACTGATCAAATAAGATTTTAATGAACATCAGCATTTGGAGCGAGGAACAGACGCTATGACTGCTTAAAGCTACCGACATCTCGGCTGGGGTTGGAGTTTCATCTTCAAAAAGAAAACAAGAAAGAAAACATTCCTGAAAGAAAGCAGGCTAGGAGTGCGTGGTTCGCCATGTCCATTCGATGGCAGGGAGGAAGCAACTGGACGATGTGGTTGTGTGTAGGTTCTGATCATATCATGCCACATATTATCCTAAAAAAACAGGGGAGGGGGAGAAGAAAAGGTTGTTCTCTGAAGGCTTTCCTCTAGGAGCCTCTCAGTGGGAGGGAGAGTAAATAAGATGTCATCAATAATAGAAAGTGAATGTTCTGAGCAGTTCTGCACACTCGTGCACACACACAAAACACACCAGCTCTGGCTGATTCCTATCCTGCAGACAGGCCTGCCAACCGCCAGCCCTTTTTTGCACACGCTCAGATTCACCGTCCTGACTAATCGCTTGTGATAGGGGCCTTTGCCATAATTACCCAGGGCTTTATCGCAAACTTATGCGATGCATTTTTCATGTCCTAGCTGCTGGCAGTGCCTCCACTGTCCGTACTGGCTGTCAATCTATTTTTAAAAAAAGGGGCATCTAAGACCAGCTCTCTCAAATAAACAAACATGCATACAGCAGATCAGAAAGAGCAAAATAGGTGAAAGTAGGGTGAGGGGCCAGAGAGAGGAGGGAAAAAAAAAAAAAAAAAGCTAGCAGGGAGAGGAAGTCAAGGATGTTTGGGAGGGGGTGGGTGATAGATGGCACAGTTGCATTGATCAGCCTTTTTCCAAGTATCTAACAAGTAAATTCCAACAGTGACCAAAAAGGATTGTTGGTTTTTTAAGGGATGCTGACACAAAACAGAATATATACGTTTACATATTGCACTGAAGGTTCTGTGATAGAAGTAACACTTTAAAATCCAAAAGTAAAGGAAGGAAGATTGAAGAATGCCCTCTCATTCAAGAACATGCCACTTAGGCTATGTTCACACTGCAGGCTGAAGTGACCCAAATCCGATTTTTTTTGCCCATATGCAACCCGAATCTGGCCTTTTCATGGCTGTCTTAACAACACAGATCCGATTTTTTCCCTATCCGACCCAGGCCACTTGGCTATGTGGTCCTGAATCCGATGCGAATCTGATCTTTTAAAAGCCAACCGGGGCCGAAACGCCAAGGCCCAATCAACCGAACCGAAACCCAATAAAAACCCAAAAAACGCAACAATAAGCCGCCTGCCGCCCAAAAACCGCAAAAAAAAAAAAAAACAAGCCAAGAGAACAATACCAAGAGAGAACAAATTAAAAAGAACATATAGAAAAGATTGGAAAAGACCGCTAGAAAAACACCGCGAAAACCACACAGGGACAACCACCCAAAAAAAAGACCAGAAAAAAAGAGCACGCCAGCCCGTCACCTAATGCCCACCCCGAACACGCAGGCGGGACAACTGCAGTGCACAAAGGAAATCAAAAAAAGGGAGCACATACAGGGAAAAAAGAACGGGAAAGAGAAAAAAAAAAAAAAATCGGATTTCACAAAAAAATCAGAATTGAGCATCAAGGCCTGCAGTGTGAACATAGCCTTACAGATACATTTATAGACCGAAAAAACAGGAGTTTTTTAAGAAATGTAAAATAATATGTAATATTATTGTTATTTTACTTCTATTACTAAAGTAACTAGCCCTACTTTCTCAGATTATGTAAATCTTAAGTGTTCAAAAAACAAAAGCAAAGCCAATGCTTAATTTAACCCTTACTTATAAATGAATAAAAAGGCCTGAAAAGGAAATTCCTCTGCTTATTTGGCAGCTGGATCTCCAAAGATTGAGACAAGCATGAAGGAAAAACGCATAAGAGGAGGAGGAGTATGGAGTACTAGAATTTCTGAGGGGGGGCTTAAAGGAAGGGGCTGCCCTGGTAATCTTTCATGCAAGAACCGCCACTGTGTCTGATAGTGAAGAAAGACAAGAGAAAGCTGTCTCTGATTTTTTTTTTTTTTTTTACATAATGCATGAACGAAGGGGCAATGAGTAGGAGGACCAAATAGGATCAAATAAATAGGAGAAGTGAAGCCTTGATGATGTGGCATAAGTGCAACACAAAGCCCGCTGGGTAGACTTGCTCACTGTCCTTTTGTCTACCCAGTCACTGGGGCATCATGACCCAAATAAAAGTTTAAAAACCTCAAGCTTTTGGTAGCTTACAAAATTATGTATGAACAATCGGGCCTACAGTCTACATAATGCAATCTTTATGTTAATGACGACGGCGAGCGGGCAACTAATATTCATGAATTATGATTTGAAATTCAGCAACGCGTGTTAAATGCCACGGGAGGAAAAAAAACACAACAGTGGCATTGTCTCGCGCGTCTTGTGATAGGTCAAACACGGTCTAATATATTCAGGCCCAACGTGTTGTTTTTAAATACATTTCCTGCGTGGAGCTTGGATACATTTAAGGAGTTTATCCGTATTCACAAGGTCACGATCCGACACATTTCTATCATTTGTGTTGTAAAACTGTCCCGTCCTGTCCACTTCCACGGACGTGGCAATGTCTGTTAAAAAAAAAAAAAAAAAAAAACTCACGGTGAAGTGTGAATGCCGACAGAAAGCGAAAAAAACACAAAAAAATAAGACCGAGCTCATCAAGCGTTTATCACCTGAACCACTTCCATATAAACTGTTCCAAAACCGTTAGCCGTTCAGGTTGCTAAATGTGTCCTAAACTTACTAAAATGTCAAAGTAAAAGAGCATAAAAAGCCTCAAAGAGCCTCTGTGTGTGCCTTCAACGGTCGGTGTCACCACAGCGCCACCGTATAATGAGTCGCACTTATTTTTTTTTCCCCCAAAATGATCCAGCCTTACAGCGGCTAAAGCGTCGCGGCTAACTACGGCTACTACTCGCTCCGGTAAAAGTTGAACAACACGCAATAAAGATCGTCAGCCTTAAAGCTTCTTCTTTCCCCCCGGCAGCCAGAGCCCCGCCGAGTAGCCTTTTTATTTCGGCGCATCCCCCCGCGGCGTCGCCCCGGCTTGCCCGGTTGCAGTGTCCGATCGATGTTGAATTGAACAAAGAGGATCAATTTCTGATCAGCGAGAGAGCCACTTTCATCAATGTGAGGACGAGGTCCTGGATTCCCTTCCGAAACAACCTACGAGGCTGCCGCCGAAATAAAATCACTAAATGCAGCCCCGGGAAAGCGGCCAAGAGCCCGAAGAAGGCAGAGGCTAGACGGTGAAAAGGGAGGTTGAACTGACCTGTAGTTGTTGTAAGTCAAAGCGCTTCCAATATTGAAACATCGATCCTGCATTGGCCGCCATCTTGAGACATATTGAGACAGGAATGAGATGCTGATAGAGAGCGCGGGGGTTGGAGTTCAGTGGAGAGGACCGGGCGGCCGGAAGACCCGGACTGGCATCTATCTGCCTCTCATTTGGAGACGGCCGCTGCGTGGAACGGAGTTAGCTCACGCGAGTGTCTCCTTAATAACGCCATTATAATTGCTTAAATAGCATTTTATCAACATTGAGAAATTACAGGTAAACAACTAAACTGGCAATACAGTGGAACCTGTTCAACACAAATAAAACAGCGGAAGTCTTGTTTTTAAGATATTTAATTTGCTAATAAAAATTGCTCTCCAAAGGGCTTCAAAAAAGTATTCTGTTTTTTTTTGTCACATTACTATCAAAAGCTTTAATTTCTTTAATGGTATTTTTGAGACAGACCAACTCAAAGTGATACATGAATGTAAAGTGGATGGAAAATGTTTTTTTGGCATGCTCAGGGATGTATTTAGCATCCCAGTCATTTTATGAACCCCCCTTACTATAGTTAGAGGAGCAAGCTTTTGGGTTGGTCTGTGACAGCTTTTCAAATTAAGTATCTTTACCGATTTAGCTTTGTAAAACTGCTCATGCTGAATCCTGAGCAACTGTGAACATTAATTTTAACGCTTGCAATAGCTTCTCAGTTGAATTTAGCTCAAGGCTGTTCTGATAAATTCATGTCTTGATGCATTTCATTGTAAACACCAGCTGTGTGTTTAGAGGTATCCTTCTGGACACGTGATTTGGGTTCTGTTCTATTTCCACATCCAACTTTTTTTATTTTTTATCCTGTCTTGAACTTCATTTATCCTCCCATCAATAGCTTCCCTGTTTCTCCCCAAGACAAGCATCCCCACATCAAGATCCTGCCACCACCATGCTTTGCTGTGTTAGTTGTCACCCACCAATCAGATATTATTTTGGTGGACAAAAAACAGAGAAAAGCTGTTGTGGTTGACATAGAAATACCAAGTGACTGCAAAATCAGGAAAGAGGAACCTGAGGAAGTAGAGAAATACCAGGGGCTCAGAGAAGAGCTGGAGAAAACCTGGAAGGTCAGGGCATCAGTGGTACCCGTGGTCATTGGGGCCTTCAGGTCAGTGATCCCACAAACTTGAATAGTGGTTACAGCAAATCCCTGGAAATACATCAGACATCTCAGTCCAGATGAATGCAGTTCTAAGAACAGCAAAGATACTGCGCAGAACCCTCAAAAGCTCCAAGGCCTCTGGTAGAGGCCCCGAGCTTGGAGGAAAAAATGGGGTATATATATATATATATATATATATATATATATATATATATATATAACATCTAGGTTGATTAAAAAATGTTTGTTACACACTCCTCATTTGATCAATTTCTCTAGTTACATCTAACAATACATTAATTTTATATTATAGAATTTTAGAAGTACTAGGGATTACATGAATTGCAATGTTTTACATAAATGCAAACAGTTTATGCTTTAAATTGTTTGCATTTATATTCACTTTATATTTTGTAAACATTCATATTTTTCTATTTCTTTAATTATTAAGTGGGAAAATTCAGTTCCTGTCCCTTTTCTGCCCAATCTACATATTAAATATTTAATTTTTTACTCTTCTCCTGTCATTTTTTTATTTGTTTTATTTTAGCTACAAATGCTTTAACTCCTTTGGATAATTCTGCATCTCAGTAACATTGTATATTTTGGAATATGACATAAGCAAACTAAGCAGCTGCCTGGTGACCTCACCCCAGCTGAGGAACAGATCAACAGACTTATATTAGAAGTCAAGTGGTGCATCAGAATCACTAATACTAGTTTCTTAGCTCTAAAAGCCATTGTAAAATTCATTAAAATAAGAGAAAAGAAGATTCATTTAGCATTTTAAACATGCTAAAAAAAAAAAGTAATTTCTGCTAACGTAACACAGACTGTTATTTCAGCTGTGGGTGTGCTATTTTTCAGTATATTAATTCTTTATTTTGTTTTCTAAACAGATTTTTCTTCACCTATTTAAAACTGTAACATACACAATGTTAGGTGTAAAAATTGATTGAATTGGGATGATTTGATTAGACATTGATAATGAGCAGAATTCTCATACCGTATGTACATTTTAGCATTTATTGAAAGATTGTTTATGTCTTTTGGTCATTTTTTTCACGGGTGTTTTGAAGACCATTTTACTCACTTAACAGCTATTTTTTTGTATTTATAGTCTCTTTATGGCCCATTTCTTTATAGCCCTTTTGTGTCCCAGTTTTTCATGTATAAATCTCTTTATGGTCATTTTGTCTCTTCATTATTATACTTACACAGTCTATTCATTGATGGTTGTTTTCATATCTTACCGGGGTTTCTTTTTCTTCAGTCCTGGAGCCCATTGACTTTCACACATTTTGCCACTTAACATCCCTATTTTTTCCTTCATTTTACTAAGATTGCATTTTTTAGGTCATCATATAGTTTGTATTTGTGAAGTGAAAAGAAAAGGATTCTTCCTCCCTTTAAAATAAATGTTCTTTGTACATTTTCATTCATTCTTCCTGGATTAATAACCCAGTCTCCCGTATTTTAAAACCTCTAACTTCTTTTTCTTAGTAGTTTTCTTTGGTTGTCTTTACAGGATTATCTTGTATTTAACTCTCTCTAGTTCCCCATCAGCTCTAACAACCTCCCTTGTACCTGCTGAAGAGAAGCCTCCACAAAGTGTTTTTTTTTCTCTCTCTCTCTTCCACATTGTTATTGTGCCCCCTACACATTTTTCGGGGTAGCAGTTAACAGAACTGGCTTTCTCCCTACCACCTTTGTGGATTGTTCACCTAAAGGTTGTCCTAACCAAATGTTTGCGTACCTACGCTGTGAATCTCTGCAGCTCCTTTAACCCTTTATATCCTTGACCGGAAAATAATTAAAATAATTGACAGAAAATTAAAATTTATTCTGAGTTGTCAATTAACTTTTGAAGTGAGGATGAAATAAAAAAAACATACTTTAATACTAAACATACTAAAATAAGTTAAATTAGAGCCTTTATTTGCATCAAATTTGATACATTAAGCATTTCTGTATAATCTTTTACACATTTTCTCTTTACTACAAGTGTCTAATTGTGTAAGTCAGGGTTTTCAAGAACAAAAATATCACACTAATGATGCAGAAGTGTCCAAAACTCATGTATCAAATATGATACACTTGGTTTTAAAGGGTTAGAGTCAGCAGGTCCTCTTGGCTGCTTCTCTGATTTAAATGAGCAGGCATGTCTTGGTAAGTTTGCAGCTGTCTGATGGACTTTTATCTAATCTGATCCACTAAACTTCTCCATGATTTCCTTGCTGACCTGTCTGCTATATGCTTGTTCTGTATGATGCTGATTGTTCACAGAATAGCTGCATTTATACCCAGATAGATCCATTTAAACTGTGATTGTTTACCAACCATGCGGTTTCTGAAGCCAATTAGCCGTGCTGTATTTTATTGGGGAATATTAGGACTAGGCACACTAAATTAAAAAAATGCACATCACACCTTTCAGATTTTCTAGAAAATTTCTAAAATTGATCATCATGTGATCTTTAATGTAAAATACAGAGGAAAACGTTGAAGTTTTGGGGCTTTACTTACTTACTTACTTTGAAAAATCCTTTTAAACTTTTGATCAACAACAGATACAAAAAAAAACATGCCTCTGATCATACAGCGCAGGAAGATGCAAATGAAGCAATAAATATGTTGCATCGGATTTCCTACACTGCAAGCTCTTGAAGCAGTTTTTAAAAGTCCTTTCGTCTTAGACATATACAGGCTTTCATCTCACATGCAATATTACACATTCCCACTAAAAAATAATGGATCAAACTAAAACACACAGAGGAATAGAACAGAACAATTAAACAATTTAAAAATATTAGGGACTAAAACAGTTGACTTATGTAATCTAGACAGAAAAAACACCTGGGACAATCAGGCATCAAACTTTATGTAATTGATACAACTCTGTGGGCATTATGGAATCAATACATTTATAATAATAACATAAGCAATGAAGCGCCTGCAGATATGAATGATAACAAATGAAATAGTACATAGGGAATAAAACAGACTTGATGTGTTGTTACAGCGATAGACCTGAACACAACTTGTAAAAATGCAGTTTTAGTTCAGGTCAATCCCAGGAATTCATCTCCATGCATCAGTTTGTCCAATAATCCTGTTGCAGCAGGCCGGGCTGCAGCAGGCAGGGGTCAGACTGTCAGTGTGAATCCAGATCTGCTGCTGAAGTGACCTTGAGCGGTGCTCTGAACCCTGGCTGCTCCCAGGGGGGGTCACTCCTGCAGACCACGTCCTCGACCCTCTCAGCATGTCGACGCGCCTAAGAGAAATATGTAAAGAATCTAATTACACTGTATGCATGGTGTGCCCCGGCTTCCTGCATCAAACTGTTCTGCCTAATTCACCTAAAAAAAAAAGAAGAATAAAACTCAAAGCACAGCGCCTGAGCCTCACCACCACCAGCCTCAGCCGAGCCAGAGCCGCTTCAGGTTTATCAAGGTGACACATCTGCTGTGCACATTGTTTTCATTTTTAGCACTCTGTGGCTTCCCAAATTTAAACTTCCACAGTGTGCGTATGTCTGTGAGTGTGTCAGGGCCTGCAGTGTGGAAAATCCACGCCTGTGTTCACACTTTTTTTTTTCCTTTTTTTTGCAGGGCCAGAAGCATTTACCAAAAATATTTCATAGCAATTCATAGCTTTATTTTTCTCCTGTTTCTTCACAGTCATTGCACTTTAATTGTATTGAACCCAAAATAACAGGAGAATTTGCCATAGATAATAACACCTCTTTTACTGCATATGTGTGGACACAAAGGTGGGCATTCTTGTGCCTGGAATTACCTCCCCTTTCAGGCCATTACTTGATTTGATTTGAAGCTGTTTGTGTCTCCTCCTGGAGCATGAATAGGGCTCAGTGCTAAACTCTGATATGCAACCTAAATAGCTGTGCCTTATTTCATACTTCATTTATGAGAATAATACAGTGATTTAAAAGCCATCAACAGCCAGTCACATGGG